TAAGACAAATATGAAAAGTAGAAATAATGTCTCAGTAGAAAAATAGTGATAAACAGGAACAGAATTCATGTAAGAGGAAACAATAACTAACCAACAAAAAAAAAATTTTGGCCTTACCACTAATAAAAGAAATATAAATTAAAATAGATATCATATTGCCAAGATGTTTTTACCGTTCAAAAGAGAATTCCTGGGGCTGGTGCTGGGGCACAGTAGGTTAAACCTCCTACTGCAGTGCTGGCTTCCCATATAGGCACCAGTTCTAGTTCTGGCTGCTCCTCTTCCGATCCAGCTCTGTGCTATGGCCTGGGAAAGAGTAGAAGATGGCCCAAGTGCTTGGGCCCCTGCAGCTGCATGGGAGAGTAGGAAGAAGCTCCTGGCTCCTGGCTTTGAATCGGCACCGCTCTGGCCATTACAGCCATTTGGGGAGTGAACCAGCGGATGGAAGACCTCTGTCTCTCCCTCTCACAGTGTGTAACTATACCTCTCAAATAAACAAATAAAATCTTTAAATAAAAAGAGAGAGAATTCCCAAAGGGGTAAGAGTTTGAAAAGGAGCTTTTCTCATACATAAGAGCAGTTTAGCAAAACATTAATGAAAAGCTAAGTTTTTACTTTTCAACCGATTAAATCTTATTTTTTTTTTATTTTTTTTATATTTATTTTTATTTATTTTTGACAGGCAGAGTGGACAGTGAGAGAGAGACAGAGAGAGAAAGGTCTTCTCTTGCGGTGGTCACCCTCCAATGGCCGCTGCTGCGGCCGGCGCACCGCAGATCCGATGGCAGGAGCCAGGAGCCAGGTGCTTCTCCTGGTCTCCCATGGGGTGCAGGGCCCAAGCACCTGGGCCATCCTCCACTGCACTCCCGGGCCACAGCAGAGAGCTGGCCTGGAAGAGGGGCAACCGGGACAGAATCCGGCGCCCCAACCGGGACTAGAACCCGGTGTGCCAGCGCCGCAAGGTGGAGGATTAGCCTAGTGAGCCGCGGCGCCGGCTTAAAACGGCTTTTAAACATGAAACTTCAGAGGGGAGTAGCTCTGGTGGAAGCCGTATCTGGTCACCCTGTTTCAAACACGAGGCGCTCACGCCGCCTGCTCGGCCCACTGTCACGCGGTGTGCTACTCTGCACAGCGATGGCCTGGCCCGTGGGTTTCTGCCACTCACTGCACCGGTGCAGACCAAGAGGCAGGGTCGGGCACACCCGGGAAGGCACGCGGCCGCGCATTACCTACGCACTGCTTCCACGTGCTTCTTTCTGGAGCGGGCCTGGGTCTTCTCCTCTCGCGGCCTGTGTTTCACACGTTCTCTGCCCGTGGCACCGTCCCCCTGCGGGGACTCAGCCGGCGCCTCCTCAGAGTCCCCGGTGGGCCGTGGAAACCTGTCGCCGGCCGCTGCCGCACCGCCCTCGGAGCTGTGCCGCTTTTTCTTCGACCTTTTCTTCCCCCTGTGGGGCGCCTGGACCCCCACAAGCACATCACCGCTTTCCGCCGCCCCGGCCTTGCTGGCCGCTTTCTTCGGCCTTGCAGGGGACGCCTCCCCAGGACGCGCAGGCCCGGGCGGTGCCTCCAGTTGCGGGTTCCTGCGTTTCTTCTTTCTCTTCTTCGACCTGTGCTTGCTCACAGAGCCTGGCAGCTCTGCACCTTCCCCATCTGCGCTGGGGGAAAGCAGGGCCTCCTGCCCCTCTGACTCCGCGTGGGGCAGCGTGAGGCTCGCGTGCCGGCTCCCCCGGCCGGCGTCGGGGGAAGCAGCTTCCCCGGGACGGTCTTTATGCTTTTTCCTCCTGACTTTGTGATGACGGGCGTGCGCCCGGGGAACTGCACGCGGCGCCTCTGCTTCCTGCTCGGACGCTGCCTGCTTTTTCCTCTTGCTCTCACCAGCGCAGCCGAAATCCACATCCCGCTCCCTGGCTGCCTGCTTTTTCCTCTTGCTCTCACCAGCGCAGCCGAAATCGCCACCCTCCCTGAAACGCCTCCCTGTGTCCCCGACATTTTCCTTATCCGCAGGGTCCTGTGTAGCACTTGCTTCCTCGCCCGCCCCTAAAGCGCTGTTTTTTCTCCTTTTATGTTTTTTGGATCCAGGGGCGGCCTTCCCAGTCCCCTCACAGATTCTGGATTTCTTTGGAGGAGGGGAAAGGAGCTGCTCGGAATCCTGTCTCCGCTTCCTGCTCCTGGTTAGCTCGGGCTGCCCGCCCGCCAGCGCCGAGTCGCCGAGCCTCTCACGGCAACGCTTCTGATGTCCCTCCTTGGACGAGCAATGCTTTTTCTTTTTCTTTTTCTTGGCAAGAACCGGCGTGCGGATTTCAAACCTGCTCGACTCTTCCTCCATTTTATTCCTGTAGGGAAATGTGACAACAGTTTACTTTTCCATGTTAGACGTCAGCCTCAAGGGAGGGAAATCCCAGCAAAATGAAACTGTATGAGCCTGCATCAGATTATGTTACACGACACCAATGACACCGCTTGAAGTGCACGGGAGGAGCCGGCGCTCTGGTGTAGCAGGGTAAGCCTCCACCTGCAGCGCCGGCATCCCATAAGGACGCCAGTTCAAGTTCCCACTGCTCCATTTCCAATCCAGCGCCTTGCCAATGCATCTGGGAAAGCAGAGGAAGATGGTCCAAGTGCTTGGGCCCCTGCACCCACGTGGGAGACCTGGAAGAAGCTCCTGGCTTTGGATCAGCGCAGCTCCGGCCATTGCAGCCAATTAGCGAGTGAACCAGCGATGGAAGACCTTTCTGTTTCTCTCCCCCTCTCTCTGTAACTCTGCCTCTTAAGTAAATAAATAAATCTTCAAAAAAAAAAAAAAAAAAAAAAAAAGAAAAGAAACATCCCGTGGTGACAGGAATTTTCAGGTACGCGACCATCGTACAGGCCCGTCGCGGACTGAAATGCCCGTGGCGCCTAACTGCAGGAGCAGAGATGGACCTCACAAACGAGGCGGTGAGACACACGCCTTTGCAAACATCGCACTCCACTCCTTGCTCTGTATCGCTTCTGAATTCGCGAGATATTTACTGGACTGTGTAACATCATTCACGGTTCGACAATCGAAGCAGCCTGCTTCCTTGCCCAGCACTCACGTTCCGGTCAGCACGTGCTGTTTCCATTAACAGCAGGTCCACAGGCGCTGTCCCGGGATCTGCAGGCTGGGTCCTCCGCACGCCTGCTGCAGAGGGCAGCTCTGAGGACGCCTGGCCCGGCCTCCACAGGGCAAGTCCCTCGCCCCACTGAGCTCCGCCCCGGCCCGGCCCTGCAGGGCACCCGGCTGGGAGCTCCCACAGGAGACGCAGAGAGACGAGTGGGGACTTCGAGGTCTCTATGTGGCAAGAATGAGTGCCGTAAGTTGTCTGGGTGCTCAGAGTGACTAGCAGACTGTATCACGCACCCCAGACCCTGCACCTGGCCTACCACCTGGCTCGTCAGAGGAGCTTGCTGAATATTTTCTGAAAGAATTAATGTTTTCTGAGAACAGCTGGAGACAGAACTCACAACTGGACAGACGGGCACCACCGTGAACACCTGGGTCAGGCCCCACTGTGGTTGGGGGCTGGGCGCTGGACACCGCCCCACGGCCGAACTGTATCCTGAGGTTCTGCTGGCAGACAGCAGACACTAGCCACACGAGGCACTGAGCACGCAAGATGTGACCAGACCAAAGCGTGCCCAAAACTCCAAGATACACACTGGAGTTTTTAAAAAGTTTTTACTAAGAGGCAGACACACACTGCCCATCCACTGGCTCACTCCTCAAATGCTGCCCGGGCTCGGCCAGGCCACAGCAGGGAGCCGGGAGCTCAGTCCAGTTCTCCCACGCGGGTGGCGGGGACTCCGGCCACCTCCCGGGCTGTGCCCTAGCAGGAAGCGGAATCAGGAGCTGAGCTGGGACCCGGGCATTCCGACACGGGGAGCTCGGAGGCGGTGAGTTAACCGCTACGCCAAACACCCCCCCTTCACGCTGCGGGTCTTGAAGACTTAGAACAAAGCAGGAAAAATATCTGATTGATAATTTTTATATGCCGATTTAACGTCAAAACGATAGCCTGGGCATTCCTAATTCCTGGAACGGCTCTTGAGGTGGCCACTAGCAACGCGACATGCAAGTCTTGGGCCAGCACCGCTCCACTGCTCCGCAGTTCTTCAAACAACGGTTTACCAGCTGTTTGCATTCTGCCTCCCTCTCTCACTTCCGGCAGACACGGTGGACCAGAAACCCGCTGCGCACCAGACCTGGCATCTGGGGCCCTCGTCTCCCTGCCCCGCCACAGAGGAAGTGGCCAAGCTTTGCCTGCAGGGGCCTTCGCTGCGCGGGCCTGCGGTGTCAGCCTCCCCTGCACGGACGCCCTCCAACCATCGCTAGTTTCTTGCACCGGGGGAGGGGCTGCAGCCGTCTTCTCATCCCGCGGTCCCACCCGGCTGTCCACCTTCCTCCCAGGCACAGCAAGGCGCTTCACGTTTTTCTAAAGGGACGGGAAGAGTGGGGAAGTGGAGGAGAGGGAGGAAGAGGGGAGAGGGGAGGGGGAGACGGGGATGGGCGAGCAGAGCGCGCGCGCGAGCGCTCCCCGGCACCTGCTCACTCGCCAGACGACCGCAAGGCCGGGCCGAGTCGGCAGCAGCCGTCCCTGCCCCGCGGCTGCCCCGGGGCCCCACGCCGACCCGGCGGCCGGAACGGTCACTCCCCGCCCGGCCGGGACCAGCCCCAGCCGGGGCCCGGACTCCCTCCCACGTCGGAGCCGCAGCTCTGTCAGCCAACGGCGGAGGGGCCAGCCACAGCGAACCTCCCATCTCCTCTCCCCACACACCCTCGCCTCGGACCCTGAGGTCGGGCCTGGGCCGGCAGCGAGGACCCGGGCGCCAGGGACCGCAGGCCAAGGGCCGGTCTCCCGGGACAGAACAGACGACGGCGCCGCTCCTTCAGTATATGCGCATTAATAAAAAGGAAAAAGAAAAAAACCTCAAACAACCAAAAACCGCGCTTTCAACGTACCATCTGAGCGAGTCGCCACCTTTCTTTCAACCCGGAAGTGCTGCGCTGGTGGAAGCGGAAGTACCTGCGTCACTTCCGTCCCCCTCGGCGTCACGCTGCCATGGCAACAAGGGTGCCACCGCGCGGCGGGGGGCTCCCCATGGTGACTCATGCGCAGTTGTCTGCCCAGCGTCCCGCGGGCTTTTTGGAGTGGGGTAGAGCGTGCTCCGAAAACTACGAAAATAAGATCATTACATTGTTTTAGTAATTCATTCTGCTTTCAGTTTATTCAACAAGTTTTTGTTGAGCTCCATCTGTGGTCCAGGAAAGAACAAATCAACCAAGATAATTTCAGATTCTCCTATTAGGAAATCAAACAGTAATGTGATGGAGAATGATTGGAGCACTGGGTGATGCTTTAGGTGGAAAGTAAGGCTTTAAAAAATGTATTTGAGAGAGAGAATGAGAAAGAGATTCCATCAGCAGGTTCACTCCACCATGGCTGAGGCTGGGAGCTGCATGCAAGTCTCCCACACAGGTGCAGGGGCCCAAGCACTTGGCCCATCTGCTGCTGGGAGCTGGGTCAGAGGCGGGGCAGCAAGGACTCGAACTGACACCCATCTGAGACACCAGCACTGCAGGCGGTGGCTTTACCCGCTAGGCCACACCACCAACCCCCCAAGGAAGGTTTTCAGAGGTCTGAGGTTTGAACGGAGCTGTAGATGAAAAGGGAAAGCAAAAATCTAGGCAGGAGAGCATCCCAGACAGGAAGCAAAGGCCTGAGCTGGGCGGCTGGAGGAACGGGGGGAAGGCTAGGGCAGCTGGAGCACAGTGAATGACCGGGACAGTGGTGGGGGCGACGTCAGAGGTGTGGCAGGGCCCGATGGACGCTGAGCAGGGATAAAGTCTTTTTTTTAAAGATTTATTTTATTTATTTGAAAGAGTTACAGAGAGAGGTAGAGAAGGGAGAGAGGTCTTCCATTCACTGGTTCACTCCCCAGATGGCTGCAATGGCCAGAGTTGGCAGATCAGAAAAGGAGCCAGGAGCTTCTTCCTGGTATCCGATGTGGGTGCAGGGGCCCAAGGACTTGGGCCATCTTCTACTGCTTTCCCAGGCCACAGCAGAGAGCTGGATCGGAAGAGGAGCAGCTGGGACTAGAAGCGGCACCCATATGGGATGCCGGTGCTGCAGCCAGGGCTTTAACCCGCTGCGCCACAGCGCTGGCCCCGGGATAAAGTGTTCAAGGGTCACAGCTCTGTGTCCGGTCCTCCCGTCTCGGCAGAGTCCTGAAGAAGCTGAGCTCATGCTTAAAGGAAGCTTTCATCAGGCCACCGAGAAGGGCCGCTCTACCACGAGTGTCTGGTCTTTGTGCCTGGTGAACGCTGCCATACCGGCGCCAAGCCTTGCCATTTAATCCCGCGACAATGCTCTGTATGGTTGTCACGTACGATTAGCCCCCTGTGGATGAGCAAACTCGTGCTTACGGCAGTTTGCCCCAGGTGACCTCCGTGACCCAGCCAGGTTCTAGCCTTTGGTCTTTCCACTTTCGCCCTATCCGTCCTGTGGGGAGCAGCTCGGACTAGACTAGGTTACTGGAATTAAGACTTATTCTATGCATCTGCTCTCCTCTGTGGGGAGCAGCTCGGACTAGACTGTTACTGGAATTAAGACTTATTCTATGCATCTGCTCTCCTACAATATGGCGCTGGGAGAGAAGTAAACAGCTTCTGCACAGCTGCCTCCAGTTCAACCAATAAACTGTAGGACTTACTCCTGATTGGAGAGCAGCGTACTCGGCGTGTGGGCAGCCGAGTTAGGATTGGCAGAGGAGGACTATAAAGGAGGAGAGAGACGGCATTCACCGGGAACATCTATGGGGAACATCTAGCTGAAGGAACACCCGTGCAGCCCCCCAGAGAGCCGGCCGGCGGTGTGCCGCTCCCCTGCGGAAGTGGGGAATGTGGCCAGGGGGAACTGCCCTTCCACGGAGGTGGAAGGGATAGTAGCCAACCCGGGAAGAACCAGCAGCAAACCCGGGGAGGGCCGAGCAGACGAAAAGAACAGCGCAGGGTTCAGTGTCGTTCCCCCACGAAGAGGGGGAGCGACATAATGGTGCCGTGACTCGGATAGGAAACCTAGGACGGATTAGGAAACTTAGGAGGGAAGAAACGGGAAAAACTGGGAAAATACCGGAGGGAGAGACTAGCAAACAGCCTAGGGAAAAGCCGGACGAAAAAGGTGCCGGAAGAAGCTATTGAAAGCCTAGGCATAGACTCAGATACGGACTACGGGGGAAGCTGGGAGAAATCTCTAAGGGCGAAAGCGAAAGTGAAAGCTAGAACAAACAGACTCGGATGCGGACTGTGGGGAGAGGCCAGGAGAAATGAGGGAGGAGTATTGTTGGAGGAAAGCTTGGGGAAACATACCGGGTAGAGAAAAATGTTAGGGAAATTGAAGCCGCGGGGGGCAGGCCAAGGCGGAGACGAAAGCCACTTTGGGATTCTCAAGTTAGCCCGGGAATAGGGGGCGAAAAGTTGAAACCAGAAGCTGAGACGTAAGCCAGATTGGGATCCGTCTGATTAGCCCGGGGAGCAAAGGACGGGAAGCCAGATCGTGGGGCGGAGACGTACGCTGGGTTGAATTCGCCAGGCTAGCCCGGGGAACTTAGATTGAATCCTAGTGGCGGAGACGCAAGCTACGCTGTGTTACTCGCGGAAGCCGTCGCGTGCAGAGAGAGCACGGGGCGTGAATAGATAGGGAACGGGCTGGCGTAGGCTGTGGTTCAGACGCGAAAGGGTTAAGCGTGGAGACCGCGGAGCGCGCGAAGCCAAGCCGCGCAAAGCCGAGCCGTGCAGATGAGGCGCGGGCTGAAGCGGCGCAGAGCCGGGAACCCGCCGGCGGGGCGAGGTGCCGGAAAGCCGCAGGGATAAGAGAAACAGAAGTTTGGAAGTGAAGTAAAAGAGAAATGGGAATGCTGGAAGATAGAAGTGAAATGGGAGAGGTAGGAATGCCCGGAGATAGAGAAATAGAGAAAAATAAGGCCTCCCCTCAACATGCCAATTAGAAGGCTTGGATTCGGTCTGCCCGATTAGTGAGGCGATGAGCACCTGGGCAGCTAGCCGCAGGTCACGAATTAACATCAGTAAAGCTTCCCCACAATGCAACAATTAGGAGGCTTGGATTCGGTCTGCCTGATTTAAGGCGGTAAGCGCCAGCAAAGCTCGACCAGAGTATGAGCTGCAGGTCACCGAAGATAGGCACGAACCAACACTAATAAGTCTCCCCCACAATAAGGCAATGAGAAGGCTTGGATTCGGTTTGCCTGATAGGTCTTGTAAGTCCCCTGCAGGCAGAGCAGAGCATGCGCTGTAGGGCACCGAACACAGGCACGCATCAGCGCCTAAAAACCTCCTCACAACATGGCGAAGAGAGGACCCGGATTCGGTTTGCCTCATTGATAGGACTTGTAAGAACCTGTGGCAACTCTAGCAAGTAGAGCAGAGTGTGTGCTGCGGGACACCGAAGACAGGCGCGTATCAACGCCAAAAAAATAAAAAGAAAGGGGGATCTGTGGGGAGCAGCTCGGACTAGACTAGGTTACTGGAATTAAGACTTATTCTATGCATCTGCTCTCCTCTGTGGGGAGCAGCTCGGACTAGACTGTTACTGGAATTAAGACTTATTCTATGCATCTGCTCTCCTACAATATGGTGCTGGGAGAGAAGTAAACAGCTTCTGCACAGCTGCCTCCAGTTCAACCAATAAACTGTAGGACTTACTCCTGATTGGAGAGCAGCGTACTCGGCGTGTGGGCAGCCGAGTTAGGATTGGCAGAGGAGGACTATAAAGGAGGAGAGAGACGGCATTCACCGGGAACATCTATGGGGAACATCTAGCTGAAGGAACACCCGTGCAGCCCCCCAGAGAGCCGGCCGGCGGTGTGCCGCTCCCCTGCGGAAGTGGGGAATGCGGCCAGGGGGAACTGCCCTTCCACGGAGGTGGAAGGGATAGTAGCCAACCCGGGAAGAACCAGCAGCAAACCCGGGGAGGGCCGAGCAGACGAAAAGAACAGCGCAGGGTTCAGTGTCGTTCCCCCACGAAGAGGGGGAGCGACACGTCCCTCACTGCTCCTCCCTGACTTCCACCGTACGGGCCGCTGAGGACCTGTGGTTGAGAGTGCACACCCTTTCACTCTTTGTGAAAGTCTGGAAGTGAAGCAGGCTGGAGACACACACAGAGACACACACACACACACACACAGAGGCACACACACAGAGACACACACAGAGACACACACACAGATGCCACGAGAGCTGCTTCGGGTCTCGGCCGAGCAGGCAGAGGTCTGTCTGGGGTGCTCTGTAGGTGTGGTGTTGGTGCCGTCCACGTTGGTACATGAGCCCGAGGCTACTTGCTCTGTAGGAAACCCAAAGCCTTGTGTCCCTGGATATTTGCGTGTTTCATGAAGCAGCTGGTGACGGATGAATGAGCCTCAAAGGCTAGAACTTGAAGGAAGATTAGAGATCACCAGAGTAAGGGTCCCCAAAACACTGCACCTGGGAAGCTTTTTAAAAACCCAGATTGGGCAGTGCTGTGGTGTAGCAGGTAAAGCCACGGCCTGTGACACCAGAATCCCATATGGGTGCAGGTTCATGTCCCGGCTGCTCTGCTTCCAATCCAGCTCTTGCCAGCGGCCTGGGAAAAGAGGCAGAAGATGGGCCAAGTGTTTGGACCCCTGCCCCTCATGTGGGAGACCCAGACGGACCTTCTGACTCCTGACTTCGGACTGACGCCTCCATTATGGCCATCCGGGGAGTGAACCAGCAGGTGGATAAATAAATAAATCTTAAAAACATGGGCTGGCACAGTGGCTCACTAGGCTAATCCTTCGCCTTGCGGCGCTGGCACACCGGGTTCTAGTCCCGGTCGGGGTGCCAGATTCTGTCCCGGTTGCCCCTCTTCCAGGCCAGCTCTCTGCTGTGGCCAGGGAGTGCAGTGGAGGATGGCCCAAGTATTTGGGCCCTGCACCCCATGGGAGACCAGGAGAAGTACCTGGCTCCTGCCATTGGATCAGCGCGGTGCGCCGGCCGCAGCGTGCTGGCCGCGGTGGCTATTGGAGGGTGAACCAACGGCAAAGGAAGACCTTTCTCTCTGTCTCTCTCTCTCACTGTGCACTCTGCCTGTCAAAAAAAAAAAAAAAAGATTTATTATTGGGGGCCGGCACCATGGCTCACTTGGTTAATCCTCCGCCTGCAGCGCCGGCATCCCATATGGGCACCGGGTTCTAGTCCCGGTTGCCCCTCTTCCAGGCCAGCTCTCTGCTGTGGCCCGGGAGTGCAGTGGAGGATGGCCCAAGTGCTTGGGCCCCTGCACCCGCATCGGAGACCAGGAGAAGCACCTGGCTCCTGGCTTCAGATCGGCACAGCAGCCATTTTGGGGGTGAACCATCAGATGGAAGACATTTCTCTCTGTCTCTCTCACTGTCTAACTCTGTCAAATAAAAAAAAATAAGATTTATTATTTGCAAAGCAGAGTTCCACAGAGAGAAGGAGAGACAGAAAGAGATACAGAGAGCTCTTCCACCTGCTGGCTCACTCCCTAGATGGCCACAACAGCCGGGGCTGAAGGGAGCCCGGAACTCCCTCCAGATCTCCCAAGGTGGGGTGGCAGGGGCCCAAGGAATTGGGCGGTCAGCTGATGCTTTCCTGACCACATTAGCAGTGAGCCAGATTGGAAGTAGAGCAGCCGGGACTGGAACCTGCACGCGGGTATGGGATGCACGTGTTGTAGACGGTGGCTTAATTGGCCATGCCACAACACCGGCCCTTCAGCCCAGAAGTATTTTAACCATGCCAAAAAGGGGGGTGGAGGCTGGAATAGTGAAAAAAAAAACTTTGGGATTTTTGGCTTCCAAGAAAAGGGGAAAAGTGGAAGATTTACTATTGTTTAGCCTTTGAGCGGTTTCCCTGTGTGCCCCTGAAATTTCTGTTGTGCTTGGCCCGTGGATTTCTCCTCTGTGGCTTGTCAGTTTCAGCGGCGCGGGTGCTGAGAGGCTGTGCAGGCTGTGTGTGCCTCCTCGAGGCAGGTGGCAGGGGTCGGGAGCGCTGTCTGCCTCCCCCATCTGCGGGAGCATGATGGGAGCCGCAGTGTATTTTGGTTTTGTCTGAGTCGCAGCCTGGAGGTGTGCTCTCTACTGGAAGAATACAGCTCCTTCGCAATAATCATCTATTCTACCATATTGGGCGGGGGTGGTCGTGCCGATTGTTTGCTCCGGTGAACGGGATCAGTCTTTTTTCATTTAAGATGCAGAGACACTGACGGAACAAACCCAACACGGGTGTTTCACACCCATAGAATTTACCAGGACGTCTCCGCATCACTTATTCAAGAACATGTCTGCAAGATGCCACTGTAACAGGTGCAAAGGGAGAAACTCAGACAGCCACGTAGGCTTTGCCTACAAACGCTCACCGGCTATTTGCCTCGCTTAAAACCACGCTAGCTGGTGATTTAATGAGACTGATGGAACCAAGTCGGTGTTCCCTGCAGCCACGAGAAGATGTATATATTCCCCTTCGGAAAGGGCTGCTGCCCTATTGTAGAAAGTGACGTGCAGTTAGCCGGTTTCCTTCAAATGTGACTCTCCGGGAAGAATAAAATTGAATAGAGAAAGGAGCAGGCTTCTTCTTGCTTGCTTCTCATTTCCCCAGGATTCTGTGACTCAACATAGAATCCTGCTACAACCGCCTTCAAGCTGCTTCACAGAACCTGTCAGGGGTGCGCCCTGCCTGCCATGGGACTCAGCTGATAGCCTGTCAATACAGTTACAGGGAGAGACTGCTGGGTTTGCGCCCCTGACAACCTCAAACCTCCTGGCGCCCTGCAGAAAGCAGCCTGTGTTCAGGGCCTGACTTTGCGGAAGCGAGCACCCTCGGAAAGTGCAAATGATCACGACGCCCGATTTCTCCATAATTTATTGCTGACTTTGTTTTTCCGTGGGCGTTTATGTCACAAATAAGAAGTGCATGCCTCTGTACGATAGAGTCATAGAATCAGCGTTTGGGGGTGCAGAGCAGCTGACGCAGACACCCAGCCCAGCCAGGGGGGAGAGGCCCGGCCTGAGGTGCTACGCTGACGTGGTGGCAGAAGCAGGGGGAGACCCAGGCGCGTGGCCTCCAGCCCCGTGATTTTTTGGACATAAAATGCAATTAGTTCATCAGTGACGACTTAGACTGGGTACATGTTGCATAGCACCCAGCCCAAGAAAGTCACAAATGAATCTGATTCCAGGATCATTTTATTCAGTGTTCCTTCCCAAGTGAGATCTACTGATGTCGCAGGGCTTGTGGACGGCCAAGAAATACTTCCTGAATGTTTTCAAGGCTCAGCGCCATCATGAGCTCTCTTGGAAGACACGGGTTTAGAATGCAGCCTTGCCCACCAGGAGTTAACGCAGATTTTCAGCTGGGGACATGAGATGAGTCTTAGTGTAGCTAGCACCTGCCTTAAAGAAAGCTCTCAGGAGATGCTAACTCCTAGTGTACATATGTGTACGTGCGTGCACACACACACATACACGCGTAATATGAAGGCAACGTCATGGGTAGGCTTTCAAGTGAACCACACTGCCCAGAGGGTTGGTGATTGAGGGGAGGGAGCCCCGGGCAGGGCTTGGTGGAGCTTTACAAAGCAGCAGACCTGGAAGCAGACTTTGAAGGGGCAAGAGGCAGAGTCAGAAGGGGGTGAGGAAGGGGGCTGGAAAGAAAGCCAGCCGTCCTTAGACATGGCCTGCATGTCTGTTGTTTTCACCCCAAACGCGAGTTCGGGTTCATGGGCCTCAGCACCTCTACTGAGATCCTTACGATGACCACCACGGGGAACCCGTCACTGAGCGCCGGTGTGCTCGGGTGGAATGAATGCCCTTGCAGAATTAGGTGACCACACCGGGCCCACAAGCAGCTTCACGTCTGCTCACAGAGACAAGGCGAAGGGGGCAGGTGGACGGAACAGGTGCACCAGTAACCAGCGTGGTCACTCTGTGTTAGGTGGACAGAACAGGTGCACCAGTAACCAGCGTGGTCACTCTGTATTAGCGTGGTCACTCTGTATTAGGTGGATGGAACAGGTGCACCAGTAACCAGCGTGGTCACTCTGTGTTAGGTGGACAGAACAGGTGCACCAGTAACCAGCGTGGTCACTCTGTATTAGGTGGACGGAACAGGTGCACCAGTAACCAGCGTGGTCACTCTGTATTAGGTGGATGGAACAGGTGCACCAGTAACCAGCGTGGTCACTCTGTATTAGGTGGATGGAACAGGTGCACCAGTAACCAGCGTGGTCACTCTGTGTTAGGTGGACAGAACAGGTGCACCAGTAACCAGCGTGGTCACTCTGTGTTAGGTGGACGGAACAGGTGCACCAGTAACCAGCGTGGTCACTCTGTGTTAGGTGGACGGAACAGGTGCACCAGTAACCAGCATGGTTACTCTGTGTTAGGTGGACGGAACAGGTGCACCAGTAACCAGCGTGGTCACTCTGTATTAGGTGGATGGAACAGGTGCACCAGTAACCAGCGTGGTCACTCTGTGTTAGGTGGACAGAACAGGTGCACCAGTATCCCAGTGTGGTCACTCTGTATTAGGTGGATGGAACAGGTGCACCAGTAACCAGCGTGGTCACTCTGTATTCGGTGGACGGAACAGGTGCACCAGTAACCAGCGTGGTCACTCTGTGTTAGGTGGACAGAACAGGTGCACCAGTATCCCAGCGTGGTCACTCTGTGTTAGGTGGACGGAACAGGTGCACCAGTATCCCAGCGTGGTCACTCTGTGTTAGGTGGATGGAACAGGTGCACTAGTAACCAGCGTGGTCACTCTGTGTTAGGTGGACAGAACAGGTGCACCAGTAACCAGCGTGGTCACTCTGTGTTAGGTGGACGGAACAGGTGCACCAGTAACCAGCGTGGTCACTCTGTGTTAGGTGGACGGAACAGGTGCACCAGTAACCAGCGTGGTCACTCTGTGTTAGGTGGACGGAACAGGTGCACCAGTATCCCAGCGTGGTCACTCTGTGTTAGGTGGATGGAACAGGTGCACCAGTAACCAGCGTGGTCACTCTGTGTTAGGTGGATGGAACAGGTGCACCAGTAACCAGCGTGGTCACTCTGTGTTAGGTGGATGGAACAGGTGCACCAGTATCCCAGCGTGGTCACTCTATGTTAGGTGGACGGAACAGGTGCACCAGAAACCAGCGTGGTCACTCTGTGCTAGCCTCGTGCACAATGGGAAACGGTGCAGGAGGCTTTATATGCCGACCAGAATAGCCCTCTGGTTGCTCAAATCCTTTTACGCCCAATTACAACATAACGGGATTAAGAAATGGGCTTCCCGTCCTAATGGCCTGGCCTTGGCTGGCTGGTGGGCAGGTTTCCTTTTACTGTGGGGCACGGTGGGTTTCTCTGTCCTTGCTTCTCTCTCTCTCTCTCTCTCTTGCTTTCCCTCACTCATGTGCTTTCTCTCTCCCTCCTTCTCTCCTATTTTTTCTTTTTTCCTCTTTTAAAATCAAAGCCTCCCTCTTCCTGGTGCCAGCCCATCTGTGGAGGAGGCTGAAGCAGTGAACCGAGCCCCCTGCCGGGCCCAGGGGCCAATCCAGAAAGCAGAGCTGCTTCTGCTCCCGTGGCTCCTCAGCACCGCCTGGGGGCAGCTGCCCGCCAGAGGAGCCCCGCCTCCCTCCTTGTCCCCCAGCAAAAGGGGTGCTTGGGCTTTGAAGCAGTAAAGAGAACGGGACCTCAGAATCCGGGTTCCTCCTGCCCGACACCTTCCGCCTCGGTGGCTCTCAGAAGGCTGCAGTGGTGTGGCTGGGAGGTCAGTCCTCCAGCAAGACTTCTGAAGCCTGGCCGGGCAAGTCGGCAGTGGCTTCCAGCACCTTCCAGACGGTTCCAGGCTCAAAGTTTGTTCACGCTATGATCCGGCTGCTTTTCCCCCACTTATTTGAAAGACGAGGTTGTCTCGACGTGTAACTGGCCCTGCGGACAGAGTTTCAAAACGGTTTTCTGCTGCAGAGTTTTTCAGACTAGTACGGTCTCATGAAACAAACTCAGAGTTTTTAAAGAAGCCACGTCTTTATTTTAAAAATTTTGCCACAGAGTAAATGCGATTCGACGCGCCCCACAGTGTTAGCTGTGCTTTGAGTTTGCTGATCTCGGGGCGTTAGTCCTGTGGTTGTGTTCGCAACACTGATACATGTGTCCCGGGCAGCGAAGGCTCGCACCAGACGTGGGACATTAAGGTCGGGCAAGTGCGATGGTGCAGGGCCCGCCCTGCCGCATTCCCCGAGAACAGAGCTCTGTCCAGCTCCAGCCCCAGGACCTTTGGGGCAGCTGGGCGAAGGCACAGCAGTCGCGCTCACCCGGCCGTTGGTTGGTGTGAGCTAGCGTAGGTTGCATTTGTAGAGTGCAGTGGATTGTCTCTCATCAGACCTCTCATCAGATCGCAAAAAGTAAGAAACGCCAGCGTTCAGTGGTTTGGGGAAGGCTCAACTGGAAGTGAAATTCTCCGTTGAGTCTTTGTGCAAGCTCCTGAATCAGGGCTAACCCGGGAGGCGGGGGTGGGGGGAGACTGTTAAAACCCTTCCAGGCCGGCGCCGCAGCTCACTAGGCTAATCCTCCACCTTGCGGTGCTGGCACCCCGGGTTCTAGTCCCGGTCGGGGTGCCGGATTCTGTCCCAGTTGCCCCTCTTCCAGGCCAGCTCTCTGCTATGGCCAGGGAGGGCAGTGGAGGATGGCCTAAGTGCTTGGGCCCTGCACCCCATGGGAGACCAGGAGAAGCACCTGGCTCCTGCCATCGGATCAGCGCAATGCGCCGGTCGCGGCGGCCATTGGAGGGTGAACCAACGGCAAAAGAAAACCTTTCTCTCTGTCTCTCTCTCTCACTGTCCACTCTGCCTGTCAAAAAAAAAAAAAAAAAAAAACAAACTTTCCAGGATGGCCAGTGCGTGGCTCACTAGGCTAATCCTCCGCCTGCGGCACCAGTACTCTGGGTTCTGGTCCCGGTTGGGGCGCCGGATTCTGTCCCGGTTGCTCCTCTTCCAGTCCAGCTCTCTGCTGTGGCCCGGGAAGGCAGTGAGGATGGCCCAGGTCCTTGGGCCCCTACACCTGCGTGGGAGACCAGGAGGAAGCACCTGGCTCCTGGCTTCGGATCGGCGCAGCACACCGGCCTTGGCAGCCATTTGGGGAGTGAACCAGCGGAAGGAAGACCTTTTTCTCTGTCTCTCTCTCTCACTCTCTAACTCTGCCTGTCAAAACAAACAAACAAACAAACAAAAACCCTTCCAGGCTGCAGCTGTGACTTCCAGTAGAAATACAGAAGCCTGCAGCCACCCCCACCGAGAAAAAGGCGGGGCGGGGGGGGGTTGCTCTGTCTCAGCCCCTCCCTCTGCGTCCTCGCCTCTGGGGTTGCTTAACCCTTGGAGCCTCAGTTTGCTCACAGGAAAATGGGGTGGGGGGGTTGTGAAGAAGCAGAGGGAGGGAGCACTTCTCTGTGGTCCACCAGCCCAGCTGTGAGGGCTGTGCATGGAAAATGTGTGTTATGAAAAAGCTCTGCGTGCACTTCAAAGGTTTTTACACCAAAATAAACTCCTTTTGTTTTTATTTCTTAACTAGAGTTTTATGTATCTTGTTTGAAAGGCAGAGAGACGAACAGAGATCTTTCTTCCACTGGTTCACTCGCCAAACGCCTGCAGTAGCTGGGACCGGGCCAGGCCAAAGCCAGGAGCCTGGAACTCCGTCCGGGTCTCCCTTGTATGTGGCAGGGACCCAAGCACTTGACCCCTCCGTCACCAGCTGCCTCCCGGCTATGCATTAGCAGCAAGCCGCCATCAGAAGGGAGCTGGGACTTAAACCCTGGCTGTCGGCTGTGAGATGCAGGCATCCCAACAGATATCTTAACCACTGTGCCAAATGCTCACCTGAACTTGCCTTTAATTCTATTTTTCTATGAATGTTTAGAAGTACTTTCGTGTTGATGTTTCTCTAAGCAACCTTACTGTTCAGATCACTTGACTTTAAGTCAACGCTAAAAGTCTGCAAGGAGACAAATCTACCCACTGCTTACTCCCCCACCCCACCCCGCCGACCGGGCACCCGCGCCTCTCCTGTTTGCTGTGCCCTGTGCCCTGGGCGGATGGGTTTCCCTGGCTGAGGGTGGAAGCCTCCCAGTTGCTGTGCTTGCCCGTGAGGGTTCCGGGGCAAGCAGCCAAGTTTCCTTTTCGGCAGAGTGTGGGTCCTGACCTCGCCTGCGTCCCAGGGTTGGCAGGACGACTGCTTTAAATGAGAGGCTGTTATTCTGGAAGTAATGACGACATTCTAGGGTTAGACCTGTGGTTCTAAAATAAGGGGGGTGATCGCGCCCCGGGTCTGGAAACGTTTTTGGTTACTGCCGCTGGGGAGGGAGTCCTCCTGGCAAAAGCTGGAGATGCCAGCAACACGCCACAGCTCACAGCACAGTACCCCAGCCCAGGGACGAAGAATGGTCTGGTCCCAGTGGCCAATAGTAAAGCTGAGAAGCCCTGAGAGAGACAGACTCCTGAGCTTCTGTCCTGGCTCACCCACGGCCCCTTATTAGGTCATTTGAAAACCAAAGACAGAGCCGGCGCCGCAGCTCACTAGGCTACTGCTCTGCCTGCGGCGCCGGCACCCCGGGTTCTAGTCCCAGTTGGGGCGCCGGATTCTGTCCCGGTTGCTCCTCTTCCAGTCCAGCTCTCTGCTGTGGCTCGGGAGAGCAGTGGAGGATGGCCCAAGTGCTGGCTGTAGCAGCCATATAGGGGGTGAACCAACAGAAGGAAGACCTTTCTCTCTGTCTCTCTCTCTCACTATCTAACTCTGCCTGTCAAAAAAAATTTAAAAAAAAAAAAAAAAACAAAGACAGAGATTATGGGAATGAGGCAGTTGGGTGTTAATTGCTTCTCTTATCTATCCTTTGTTTCTGTTTTCCCTCCCCCCATGATTTTTTTAAAACTTATTTGATAAATAATGTTAGAGAGAGGGAGAGAGAGATCTTCCATCTGCCAGTTTGCTCCTCAAATGGCTATAATCACCAGGGCTAGGTCAGGCTGAAGCCAGGAGCCAGGAACTCCATCCAGGTCTCCCACATGGGTAGCAGGGACCCAAGTACTTGGGACATCTCCCGCTGCTTTCCCAGGGGCATTAGCAGGGAGCTGGATCGGAAGCAGAGTAGCCAGGACTCGAACCAGCATTCACACAGGATGCCGGCGTCACAGGTGGCAGGTTAACCTGCTTGCCACAACGCTGGCCCCGCCCCCTAATTTTCAAGGCCATTTAAAATCTTTCCTTTGGGACTTATTTTCTTTCCCTCCGTGACAGAGCTGACCTAGGTTGGCTTTTGTCGGCGGCTCGTCACCACGGTGTAACAGGAAAACTGAGCAGCTTGTCCGGTGATCCACACGGGGTAGCTCGGCGAGTCACTGAGTAAAGTCATCGGCACAGGTGCTGGCGGGGCGAGCAGCCCCCGGCCGGTGTGCAAGTTTGGGCCCCCTGCCCCACCAGCTTCCAGGGGTTTGGTTTGTTCTTCCTTGCAGTGGGCTCATCTAAGATTCAAAGCTGAGCTGATCTGATTGATCGGAACTGAAATGCACAGCCAACCAGCGCTCCTCCCAGGCCCTGCGTTCTTGTCACGGGTAGCAAACAAAGGCCCGGTGGCCAAGAAAACATCTGTATCTTTCCACCCAATAGTGTCAAGGCCCTTCGGAATCTGGTCAGGAAACTGACAGCCCACGGGTCAGTGAGCAGAAGGGTCAACACGCGTAGCACACGGGAGTGACAGTGGCCCTCGGAAAGGACTGCAGAAAATGTACGATGAGACAAAAAAGGGGTTTTTGATCTTTTCTCTGAACCGAACAACACGTGTTTGGGAGACCGATGAACTCAGAGGCGAATGGTGTGGATCAAAATCTCCAGTGTTTGTCCGGAGAAGTGAGAGCGGGGCAGCCAGGTGCCCTGGCATTTGTAACCCACGGCAGAGCACTCACGCCTCGGGGCTGCCTTGGGAGGAGAAGCCCCAGGGAGCTGGAGCTCACGCAGCAGCCTCCCCCAAAGACAGGGGCACCCACAGGACGCGGGGGGCTGGGCTTCCGGCCTTGGCATCCCCGTGGCGGGGACTTGTGCTAGCAGCTCTGACCGTCTGTTCACTGCACGAGAGGGACCGTGGCCCCGTCGTCACAGGAAAATGCCTTCGTCACGTCACGTCCTGTAGAAGTGCACCTTCACCTCCTAGGAGATCAGTAAGAAAAGAGGCGGTGGCTTTTTTTGTATTTGTTTTTGTATGCACTCGAGACCGCGAATGCATGCATCGATCAATGAGCACACATTTGTTGAAGCTGCAGTGAACACAAGACGTCTCAGAAATGTTTCTAGCGCAGCTGTGGAGACGCCACTTGGGACCCCCACCTCCCATATTGGCGTGTGGACTCAAGCAGCTGCTCTGCTTCCCCTCCGGCTTCCTGCACGTGTACAGCCTGGGGCACGGCAGGCTTGGACTTGGGTCCCTGCCACCCACGGGGGAGACCTGGGCTGAGTTCCAAGTTCCTAGCTTTGGCCTGGCCCAGTCCTGGCTGTTACAGACATTTGAGGGATGAACCAGCAGATGGAAGATCCTTCTCTGTCTCTCTGCCCTTTCAAATTAAAAAATGAAAGTAAGTAAGTAAGTAAGTAAATTTCTTTTTTTTTTTTTTTTTTTGACAGGCAGAGTGGACAGTGAGAGAGAGAGACAGAGAGAAAGGTCTTCCTTTTGCCGTTGGTTCACCCTCCAATGGCCGCCGCTGCAGCCGGCGCACCGCGCTGATCCTGGCAGGAGCCAGGTGCTTCTCCAGGTCTCCTATGGGGTGCAGGGCCCAAGCACTTGGGCCAGCCTCCACTGCACTCCCTGGCCACAGCAGAGAGCTGGCCTGGAAGAGGGGCAACCGGGACAGAATCCGGCACCCCGACCGGGACTAGAACCCGGTGTGCCGGCGCCGCTAGGCGGAGGATTAGCCTAGTGAGCCGCAGCGCCGGCAAAACTAAGTAAGTAAATTTCTAAAAACATCTAGGGAGAAGTTTAAAAAAAAAAATGGTTTCTGAGGCGCATATAGCCTGCTTGGAGGCAGGATGAGACTTTGCACATGGAAATACTCAAGGCAAGTTAGTGAAACCAGAGAAGGGTGGGAGGGCGGGTGTGCTGGGGTGTGCTGGGGTGTGCTGGGGCACTCCAGGAGGATCCGGGAGCGTGTGGGGTTGGGCCGGAGCTGCAGGATGGGTGGGATTCCAGCAGGTGGACAGGAAAGGGGAGCAGCCTCTGGAGAGGGGCTGGCCAGGGTAAGGGGTCTTCAGCAAGAATGGACAGAGAGGTTCTGAGCTCTGGGAGACTGGGAGCACCACAGGGAGAGGAGGGCACCTGCGTGGGTTCGCTCTCAGTGACAGGCAGTTTTGAGGACTGGGCTGCAGACACGGTGCCGGGCACCAAGGACACAAGGCAAACCCGGCTGGACGCACAGGCTACGCTCTCGAAGAGCTCGCAAACCTCGTGCCCAGAGCTGAGGGCAGCCCCGCCTGCATGTGGGGAGGCCTGGGAGGGTCGCATAGACCAGTGGGTTGCACTGAATCTTTTTATTTTTTATTTTTTTTTTCTGAAAGGCAGAAACTGATGCTGAGAGAGCTCCCAGCTCCCATTACTGGTTCACTCCCCAAATCCTGCACAGCCAGAACTGGCGAGGCTGAAGCTGGGAGATGGGAACCCCCTCCCAGGCCTCCCGTGTGTGTGGGTATGAGGAAGCCAAGCAGTTGAGCCATCACTTGCCTCCCTGCGCATTAGCAGGAGGCTGGAATCAGGAGCAGAGCCTGGACTTGGCGCGGGCTACAGGCATCAAGCAGTGTCTCCACTGCTGCTCCAGACACCTTCTCGCACGCTAGGATAGCCAGTGCGT